ATATTGATGGCAACATTCATTCAACATTCCTCAATGAGTCCCTGGTAATTGGGTTCCTCCATGGATCAAAGGTGAGGTAAATTCATTAAAATGAATCGCATGACGGATGATGATATATATACTAAAGAGGACTAATCCTCATCAGTTTCTATAGGTCAGTACTCTGTGAGTACTGAGAAGTTTGAGAGAATTGGGTTCTCTTTAGTTCTGCAAACACCACCGAAACTTTGTGTGCCTGAACCGTTTGCAAGACAAGGATAAATTCTCTACGCACCTCTTTTAGGAGATTCGTGAATGGATCACTTTAGGTTATTTTTGTGTGTGCTCTACACGTCTCCAATCACCTAGACTTCTATGCGCCCACACTAAACCTGAACATTTAATTTGTTTCAGAATCAGATGCTGCAATCAGAACATAATAATTCCACATTTCTCTAATATATGTGTATTAATTACGTAATAAAAATAGGAAAGTGGGAAGAAAACGCTTTAATGGAAGGTGATAGATCCGTAATTGCATTAGGAGGCTATATGGAAACATGGATACCATCTAGTGAGGGCTCTTGGTACTTTATTATGATCGCGCCTAGATTACACTACTCTGGTAACATAACGTCCATAAGAGGATGCAAGACGACTCAGCGATGACCGTAGGATAATTGGAAATGGTTTATATATTTGTTTCCGAATTAAAAAAAAAATCACTATTCAAATACATGATAATAGACGGCATACAAATCAATAGTTGAGGAGTTTCATTTGTTCAACATTAAAACCATGTTGTGATAGGTTGATAGTACTCCGAAAACCTATTGGAGAGGTCCAACTATTCATCATTTTAAGAGGGGTTAATAATTATGCCACATCTAATAAATGTAATCCGAATATTCCCCAATTGGAATCCACAATGTGATGTGACGACATTCTATCAACATTGAAACAATGTTCACCTTCAACCCTCAACATTCGCACACTCAATCCACATCCAATCAATGTTGAGTCAATGTTCTGTGTTACCTGGGTCATTAGTTAGACTCCGTTAATACTCAAGCCTAGCACTCGCATTTCGAAGTGGAGAGCCTAATCTAACAAATAGTGATTTGCAAATGAATATGCACCACTTTTAACAAGAACACCTCAGGCCCAATTCCCCATATTTCATGGCCGAAACACCCTCATCTCCTTGATTGCGCCATAAAAATACCATTACGCTGTAAAAAGTTAGTGAAAATTATTTTTCAATCACTGTATAAGCTGGATCAAGTCCATGTCTGGTTAAGGGGAAACAAGAGAACATGACTGGTTTATTCTATTTTTCAATCTAGAACTCATGATAGGGGGCAGGCTGGGGTAGGTCTCCCCATTACCAATTACAAAAAATTTGAATTTTTTAAAACTAAAGGGTGCATTCTGTCTATCAGCATATAATTCCTGTTAAGTAGCCCATGGGAAGAGAAGAGGCACAAGGAAAAGAGTGAGATGAGTATTTATCCAGTTAAGTAGTTTTTTTTATATTTTAATTCAATTTAATTCAATTTTCATGAAATCTGGGGTAACTTTTGCTTTCAGTCCATGCATCCAGCTTCTGTCAAAGAAGTGGAGAAGCTATAGAAAGATCAGAGTTTTTGTTCAGGAAATGTTACTTGAAAAGTAGCTTTTACTTGTAACTAGTTACTTTTGGTGAGAAGTAATTCTACTGGTAACTAAATAACGTTTGGATGAAATACTTGTAATTGTAGCTAGTTACTTTTCACAAGTAACGCACCCAACACTGCACACAAGATCAATGCAGCAATATTTCAACCCTCTCAATCTACATAAAAACCCATGTAATACAATAGTTGAGTTGCTAAAAGTTCAGCTTCTCTAATGGGAGTTCAACCCCATTAGAGAGAACCCCATGTATGAGACTTAACATATATTTATGCAACCTAGGATAACATGTGCTTTCACTCATTTCTTATGGAATGACACCAACACATACTGAACTACAGGATGAGTCAAAAGTCACTGGATGACTTTGAACAGCTATAACTCAGCAAGGAAGGCATTAATTTGCAAAAAGTTTTTTGCTCATGAAAGAGCATGTGCTAATTGACAAATCAACAGAAAAATTGCATGAAATACCAATAAGAAATGGGTTGAGCCTGCACAAAACGAAAAGCAACATTCTTCAACATAAAAGTGATATTTAGGTTAAAATGGACACTGTATTTGCTATTATTTTCTGCTCCATATGGTCTTCTGACTGCTGATAAAGTTTCTTTGGAGGAACGTGTCGCATTCGTTAATTTATTCTCTATCTGTGAAGGAAATCTTTCCAAAGTGAAGTGTTGTTTTGCTTTGAAGACAGGTGGATAGGCTGGGTTGGGCCTATTGAGTGGCCTCCCAGGTCACCAGACCCCGACTCCATTCAACTTAGTTTCCTTTAAAGACCAGGCATATGCCAAAAATTTGTGCATGATCATTGAACTTAAGCAATGTGTCACTGAAAAGGTTGCTCGAGTTGCCTTTCCATGACAGCTTGCATGATTGAGCTTGATGGTGGTCAATATCATGGCGAATAATTACAGTCATTTTTACGCCAAATAAATGAGTTTTTCAATGTTGGATATTTGTTGATTAGTATACACTCTTTGCTGTGCAAAAGACTCTTTGCAAATTAATGCCTTTCTTGCAGTTATAGCTGTCCTAAGTCATTCAGTGACTTTTGACTCACCCTGTATAACTGAGTCATGCCAAATCCAGGATAGGTTTAACTTATTTTTTGCAATTTTAGGTAATAAAAAAAAACACTTGCATCCAGCATTTATCAGACAAGCTGTTATGAGGGTGGGCTTATTTTCATATAAAACTGCAAGGTGACTATAATTGAAGATTAGAAGAACATATTTTTTTGTGGCTCTTACTACATACAAGTACATAGTGATATCCCTCACATGGTAAACAACAAACAGGGGTGGTGATATTTAAATCTGCAAAGTATTTTGACACTGAGAATGGGTATACATGGAGGCATGTGATGCTCTTTGTGCTCAGACTCAAACCTGATGCAATACTAACCTTGACAAATGAGATGGATGTGGTAGTGCCTTCAATATCAAGCAGAACAGCTGCAGTACCCTGCCTTCCAGCATCAGTGACTTCCATGTTCACACTGGATGCCAGATATATATGTTTAATGCTCAGTCTGGAGTAAAACTTTGAAGAGATGCTGCCAAGTGGTTTATGCCCAAATGAAAGTCCATACACAAAAAGATTTGGCAGGCTTTGGGCACATACTTTAATCAGTTCATGAACAGAAAGAACGCAGGTGGAAATCCTATGCTAACTTGAATTTATTTCAACAAGATGAACTGAACAAGGGATAATCAAGGCATGCGCTAAAATGGGAAGAACCTCCCTTTTGAAACACACAATCTGAGCATTTCCAAACTAGTGTGAATGAAGCACACGGTGGAACAAATTTCTGCCGAGAGATCCCAAATCCTCATGTTGCAAAGTTTTTCACACCATATGATGATGTCACAAGCCAAAAAAAAAGAACAGGCTTTTTTTTAATAACTATGTAATCTCAAACAACAGGACTCTTTATCGTAACTACTGTACCAAAGAATATTGGAAAGGCACCGAAAATAAATACTCTAAAAATGATGGCTACAACAAGGAACAGTGGAATGAAAGCTCAAACAACAATGAATAAGTTGAACTCTGGGGCTTTCAGTCTTAGAATTGCAACTGTGGGCCGCTAGGAAAGAGGTATGGACAGGAGAACAGGCAGAAAAAGAATTAGATAAGAAAGAAACACCATTATTTGAAAGATTGTTTGACCTCTTCAGAAATCATGCAAAAACATAGTTGTAAGAACAGTTTCAAATATTTTCAAGCATGCTCACAACTAAGTAATGCCAGAAGAGAACAGAGAAAATAGGAGGAAATCTTCAAAGTCTGAAATGTATGCTAATTATCACAAATCAACATCACTGGGTAGCAGTGTCTAAGGGAGGAGGAGAATCTGTATGCAGAAATTGTTGAGAAATAGAGAAAAAGCAGAACCAATTATGGAATGCCTAAAGATTGTGATTAGAAATACCCCAAGCAGTTTCCATCCCACAAATTTGCACTGCAAATAAGAATATTCACAGGGCGAATGTATTAGTTTTTGGGTGTATTGACTTGTCTGTGTTCTTGCTTCATCCTGGGTTGTAGACAGAAGTAGCACCATTTGGTGAAATATTCACAGCTTTCCTTGTCTCCTCTTCAGTCTTGGACTCATGATCACATGCTCCACTTTTCAATGATTACCCGAGGCACCCTGACATGAGGAAGAAAGAGAAGTCAGCTATCACAAGACACTATCATGGATAAAACAGGATTAGAGGAAACATGACACCACTGTCAATCACAGTCCATCATGCTTAATCTTGCCACTCAATACTTGTGAATGACATGTTACTGTGAAATGTGAAACATGAGAATAGAAAAACTCTGAATTAATCAGAGGATCCAGCAATATCACAGTAGCACTGGTAGAAGCAAAACATGCACCAAAGCCAGACACAATGAAGCCACTAGTACATTTTGCTGAACAATGTCTCAGCCTTATTCTAGGTAAGCATGAAGATAGCCAGACAGCTACCCAGGTCCACGAAACTCTGCCACCAGGTACAAATGCGTACAGGGACTCCCTCCAAAGAGAAGTTAAGTACACCTCTCCTCCCCATCATTACATTCAAAACAAATGGGGAAAAATATATATATACACATTTACCTCAGAATTACCTGTGAAGGCCTTTTGTTTCTTTCTACCTGAAAGCAGGTGTCGCAGCCTGGATAACTATAATGGAAAGACACATATCCATAAGTCATAAAAACAATAAAATTTAGGCCTAGTCCTCAGGATATTAGCTTTCAGGCAAAAGAAAATGAAGATCAACAGTCCAATCCATGCTGTTGAAATAGGGATCATGAAACAAGTATAGAAATGGGGGGTTTCTTACCCGCTTTTTCTTTTTACTCTTTTTGCCAGGGGGAAGGTGAGAGATGGAGGGAGACTGGGAGGTGGCAGGAGTGGGACCAGGAGATGGGGATGAGAGGAGGGTGGAATGTGAGGAGGAAGTGGAAGGCAACTGATGACCTGTGTTAGTACTGCTAGATGCACCATCTGGCATAGACTGGAAAGAGACAATCACCATGCTTCATCTCTCTTCTCCATCATTCAACATTAGCCTGCATATTTGTGAGTGAGTCCAGGTTTTCCTCAGATGATTGATGGTGAGAAGAGATCAGAAATCAAGGAAAAGAACAGATTCCCTTAACTCCCCAATTCCCCAATACAGGTACTGCATGCATTACTCACATGGACTTAAAGAAGCAATGACAAATGAGACTTGCACCAATCAGCTTGGGAGGACAACAGTGATTAATAAAATATCCCACATTCATTTGTGTCTGTATCAATTGACATGCATTGTGAATGAGAAGCTGGAGCCTCTGAGAACTCCCAAAAGAGAACACACACTTTCATACAAAAATTCCTTTTTTAGCAACCCCTATGCCTTCCCAAGAAAAGATATATTCCCGTGTCCCTGCCCAATTCAGCCATCAGTGAGTAAACCACCAGCATGAGATTTCAGCAGCTGCACCAATGCCATTTTGCAGTGACAATCACCAATAGCATTACATGCAAATTTCATGGCATTTAATACCTTTCCAAGCTGACAAACTATCAGAGCCGAATTGAACTTGGCAATTCATAACCTGAAGTTGAGAGGAATACTTACTTGTGTTCCAGGATCCACAGGACCATTTATTTGGGGCTTCTCCTAAAAGAAAATCCAGAAACACATTAAAATGGAGCATTCCTGGAAATGGCATAGCCATAATCTAACCAATACAGTTCTACAAGGGGTGGTATAAAAAAATGCCTATTAATTTTTTTGTATAAATCTTTTAATTAAAAAATTATGAAATTGGCCAGGAAAATAGACCACTCTATTGTATGCACAGCTACTTTTCCATGTAGTCCCAGTTGCATTTAATCTAATTTTTCCAGCACTCAAAGGGCATATACACTGTCACTCTAAAACTTCTCATGTCTGTGAAGCCATTTGAGCAGAGCATTCTCTATGTCATTTTCATCTATGAAGTTCTGTCCCCATAACACATCCTCAAGTGGGCCAAACATATGCTGGTCTGACTGCAAGATTTGGGCTGTAAGCTGGATAGAGCTGCAGAGTCCATCCAAATGAAGTAATTGCATCATGTGTGCAAGCTGGTGTGCAGTAGTACTTGTGATGCCTGGATTTAGGCGAACTCTTTGGATGCATTCTCCCAGTTTTTTCAAAATTCCCAAGTAGTGCTCATAGTTCATTGTAGCACACTTGGGCATAAAATTGATGAGACATCTTGCATCTCCCAGAACACAATGATCATGATTATCTCGGCAAAAGGTTCAACTTTGAACTTCCTCTCTAGAGAGTTTTGATGCCACTCCATGGATTGTTGCTTGGTTTCTGGGTCATATTGGTGCACCTACATCTCTCATCACCAATTATAATGCATAGGATAAATTCTTTGGCTTCAGCTTTGAAATGCTCCTGCAGTTCAGCATAGGTGGGCTTTCAGTTTTGTTTGTGGAGGTCCATCAACTTTTGAGGCACCCACAGAGCACACACTTTAGAGTGAGCAAGGTTGTGGATGATCTTGATAGCTGCAGGTTTTCCTATTCCCACACAAAACTCAGGTGGTGATACACTGATCATTGCGAATCAGCTCGTCCACTTTGTGCATCTTCTCTGGTGTCATTGCTGAGGTAGGGTGAATTCCACATGGCATATCTTTAGGTCAGCTTCTCCACTGTCTCACTCTACACACATCAACTGTAGAGGTCCCATACACTTCTTCCAGTCACCCATGAATGTCTGGAGGTTATACTCCCACTGTAGTCAGAAATTCAATGACAGCTCTCTGTTTAGTATATACATAAAAGGCAGCAGCCATTCTAGATGGGTGCAGTGGTTCTGCCAACTGATGGTTCTCTGCAAAACTGAAGTGGCAAGTGTGGGAAATTTGAGTCACACATGAAATTTTCCACTAGCTTTCCATGCCAAAAAAAAAAAAATTAACAAGCATTACTTTCACACCAGCCCCTGTAGAAGCACATGAGAGGAAAAACAATATAATACATCAATATCAAATTTTGTCTTCCCATACCTGAAAAAGCCATAATTTTCATAAATTAAAGTAAAAATTGTATTGGTGAGTCTTAAGCATTGCATAAAAAGGGAAAAAATGATGTCACCAACTGAGCAGACTACTGCCAGCATGAGCTCCAAGCTATAAAGCAAAATGAACTAAAATGTTTCACAACACAGCCCATCAATTTGCTGTCTACACCAACAAAAGCATCCATCACCGACATCATTCATCAACTCTGAATAAGCAATTCAACTTGTCACACATGATATACCACAATGTCTAACTAGATGTAACTAGATTTGCACTACCCCTTCCAATACAACAAATGGTGGTGCAATTAACAGGCAAACCTGAGTGACAGATTTGCAGGATATCCACTAATGAAGCTGACAAGACATTCAGTTGTACTACAGATTTAAAACATACGATTTCTTTTGCAAATTTTGTTTCTTCTTTTATGGCATCCATTGATGTGGGAAGCGTAGTGCCTCAACACGAAGGCTAGTCACCATTTCCTGTGAGAGCAGCCATCTCATGCCAGCAATAAATACAGAAAGACTTTTATTTGGATATTTTTTTCATAGCAAACATATCTGAGATAATTTTGCATGCAAAGATCAACCACCAGTGGTGCTGTGAAGAAAACCCCAGAGGCCAGTAAAAAAGTGGGAGAAAAACAAAATGCAGCACAAGGCTACAGAAACCAAACCTGATCAGTGGTAGTACTACATATTGGTTGTACAGGAACAAAGAGGATTGACCAAAAACAAAACAGTAAATCACCTGTCCTGGGGACAATTGCCCTGTTGCCCAGTGTGTCATGTATCCAAGTTTCGCTATCTGGAGCAACCGTTTGTCATCCTGCATAAAAGGGTAGTGAGTATAAGGAGAAAGATTGCCTGACAAGCTCATCACTGTCTTTGTGGTATCAAGGACTCTTTCACAGCACCAAAGGAATGTCATGCAGCTGCCTTAAAATTTATCATCTTTAAATGCAGACCATGCATAAGAAGGGTGCAATGCTGGCTCCATATGAATTTTACAGGTGGCTATCTTTGACCTGAATGAATTCTGCAGCTTTGCACCATCAATTTCTGTCATGCACAAGAAGGAATCTAGGTCTCAAGAGTCACCACAAAAGCCTCACCTCAGACTGTTGAAGCTGCTCTTGTAATTTGGCAATTTTGTTCTGCTCTTCAGCCAAGGCATTCTCCCTAGCTTCAAGTTGAGACCTGAGTTCAGCAGCATTTTTCTTTACTTCTTCAATCATCCTTCCTTGTTCATCAGCTGCATGTTTCAGCCGGGAAATCTCTTCAGCCTGGATCTCCCTTTGTTTGTCTGCCTGCTCCAAAGAAGACAAGAGCCTGGCATTTTCCTCCTTCAAAGTGGTCCGTTCCGACTCCAATGCCAACTTCAACCCTTCCATGTCTTCCAAAGGAGTTTGGCTTTGCAGACGACTCTCCAATTCTTGAAGTCTCTTTCGTTCCTCCTGCAAAGCACTCTCCTTTTGTTCAGCCTTTTGTTTCTCTTCTTGAAGGCATTCCTCTAGTTTCCGGAGTTTTTCTCGCTCCTGTTCCAGCATTGTTTTATGACTGTCAGCTTCATGACTCAGTTTGGCCAGCTGTGCCTCCAACTCCTTCAGTTTTTCCTTCTCCATATGTAAAAGTGTTTCATTGTTTCTAGCCTGAGCACTTTGTTCCTGGAACTGCCTTTCAAGTTCCTGAAGCTTCTCTCTTTCTTGCCTAATAGAATTTTCACTGGCCTCTGCTCGTTCAAGTTGTTCAATAAGTAGCTTCTCTGATTCCTGGAGTTTGGTTTGCTCTTGCTTTAGCATGCTCTCATTATCCTGCGCATGTTGCATATGACCTGAAATGGCTTTTTCCAAACTCTGACTCTTCTCCCTTTCTTCCTGCAATGAGGTCTCACTTGCTTCAGCACGTTGAGACAGTCCCAAGTTTTCATTCCTTAAACATAGGACTTCTTTGTCTCGTTTCTCAAGTTCTTGCCTATCTGAGGAAGAATGCTCTTGGAGTTTTTTAAGTTCCCCTTCCAATCGCTCAATAGTTTCTTGATTCTGATTATATGCCTCATTCTTGTTGGCCTTGAGTGCTACATTATCTTGTTCAAGATGAAGGCAGACAGTTTCCTTTTCAGCCAGTCTTGCTCTGGTCTCATTCAAGTCCTCCAGCATTCTTGCCTGAATATTGCACTGCTCCTGGAATCTGGACTTCTCAAGTTGTAGAGCTGTCTCCATTGATTTGAGCTCAGACAACTGTCCAGATTTCAAGGTGGAATTCTCAGTTCTCAAAAATTCAATTTCACTCTTCAGTTTCTCGATCTCTTCTCCCTCCTTCTGTAGGAGGCAAAAGTAATGCTAGGTCAAAAATTTTTTTCATTATAGTGATTGAGTCAATAATCACAAAATAAGGAAATGCTCTGAACCTCTTTTGATTGAGCAACTGAAGTGAGGTGGTGATTTGCCGATTCCAACTGTTCCTCCAGTGAGGACTTGGACTTGTTGATTTCTGAGAATTGAGCCTGAAGGTTAGACTTCTGCTCCTCTTCATACTCTAACTTGGCCTGCAGTTCTTTCAGCTTCTCTTGCAACTGGAAATTACAGTGGGTTGAATGCATCACATCTGAACATTGACAGCTCTTGAATCACAACAACCACCATTTGCTGTTATCCTGTTGAACATGAGTAAGCAAGGAGTTTCATTTCAGATTCCTTTTTTGAGCCGACAATCTTGATTGGTTACTAAAAATAAACCATCTAACTTTTCCATCATCACACATCACCATAGTCACACAAGCTTCAATCTAGCCAATTTCAACACAACAAAAATAATTATACAAATAAGCAGAGAGGAGAGCATAAGTTACTATACAGTTCTTGTATACAGAAAATAGCTATTTTGCTAATTTGGTCCTCTTTGTTTCAGAGTAATACTGCTGGATGAAGCTGGCAGCTTTTGAAATTACATTGCACAGTCATTTTTACATATTATTTGTGTTTTATTGTAAACAAGTCAATATGACATTAGAACTTAAACCATTTTCTATTTTCAACAACTGTATAGTGACTTTTGCCCCACTTTGTATATCAGGCTTCAATGTGGGCAAGCAGTAACCACAGAAAATAAAACAAAAAAGGACTTACCAGAGCTGAGAACAGAACAAACAACTCAGAGGGAACACGGCCTACCAAGATGCAAAAGCTTAAAAGCAGGCATGGCCTACCTCATGTACAAGGGCAGGGAAACTGTGTACAAGGGATTGGAAAGACTCAGGGTCCATATCACGTACCTCATCAGCAGCCTAAGAAGATATTTTCAAATCATCACCCTCAGTTTAACTATGTCACCTAATGCTGATTCTTAGTCATACCTCCTGGGCTGTGTGTATGGAGCTTAGGCTGTGCTGAAGTTTCTCACGTTCATCCTCCAACTGTTTTAAGCTGGCTTCCAAATCTCTGACCCGAGTATCTCGATCATCTACCTTCTTTTTCCATTCTTGTTCTTGCTTTTCTGCACTTTCTTGTAGTTTTGACCAAGATGCCTCCTGTGAGATATGCCATTCTACCTTAAGCACTAATACCTCAAGCAATGCCACCAGATTCAAGAAGAATGGTCTAGAGCTCACTGTCTGCACAACAATAGACTTGTAGTGATCAATGTCCTTCATCAATTTGGCATTCTCTTCAGCCTGTGTCGTAAGCTGAGCTTGAAGTGACTGCATAGCTGATTCAGTCTTGGTCAGGGCATCACTTTCACTTCTATCATTCAAGAGGCCTTGGACTTTCTTCTCAAATGTTTCCACCCAACAGGAAAACTCCTAAAAGCAAGATATTAGGAAAATAAAATTTCAGGTAATAGGATTTGACTATAAAGATAAGACTTCATTATATTAAGACCTGGTGGTGATCAATTTTCACTTGAGGAAAGACTTTGATGAGATGTGTTTTCACTTGTTCCTGTTCTCGAAGCAGACGTTCTTCAAGCTCCTATGGAGAAAGAAATCTGTTATAGTTCACCCTTAAAAACAAAGAATATGTTTTATAAGCAAATCTGATCTTGTGTTTTAAGCCCCTAATAGTCTCATTCACTTCGGCTGAAAAATTGATCTGTCATCCTTTGATGTAGGACAATTCGCTAGAGCCATTATAAGTAGGTCTATCAAAAAGTTTCAGGACCAGCCTTCATATGAGCCAACTAGGCACAGAAGTTAGGTTTCAGTATGATCCCCAATGAAATAGTTCCCCTGACTAGCAAAACACTTTTCACAATGTTATATAGAGATTGGAACACTAGCTGTAACCTTTTCTTGACAACTTTTTTCAATGCATTGATCTTGGGACTTGGGAGTGTCTGTTTTTCAAATTAGTGACATTTAAGAAGGAACTTCACTCTAAGAAATAGCATAAAGTCACAAGACACAAAATCCACTGAGTATGGAGGATATGAGAGCAATGTCACCTCACGATGTGAGAAATTCCATGGTAATGACTGACTGCCAGCAGTCACTGTGAACTAGCTCAAAAAGAGCCTACACAACTTCCTCATTTCTACTTTTTGATGGCCATCCACTGTGTTCATCTTCAACAGATTCCCACCCTTTGAAAAATCGCTTGAGCAACTCACACACAAGATTTAAATTACAAGAGCAAGAGATTACAAGGATTTGCCAAGGTATTCACTTCCAGAAAAATAGTTTTCATTGTCACTAGAATAATGATTTCATAGAAGACCCCATTGTTAACAGCTATTTAGCTTAGCCAAACTTTATGAAGCTTCAAAAATTGGCACAATAGTAATAATACTGATAAAAATAAATAATATTAGTAATAATAGAGGGCTCAGCCTAAAAATCCAAGAGCATTCTCTGCTGTTCATAGAGATGGAACAATATTGAAATCTTCTATGCTCCAATTCATAAAAACAGGGTTTCATATTCTGAAATCATATCAAGTACCAATATCCAATAATGCATAAGCAAGCATATAAAATTTAGCTTGCGATAGACAAGAGAAATTGCCAATCACTACATAGGACCACTTCAACTAAGAGCCTGCAGAAATATGAATACAAAAAATGCACATCCAAAGGAGCAGGATAGGATATGGCCAACTTCACTTCCATTGACAGTTACAGCTGAAGATTATGAGCTTTCACCAGAGTGCAGACATAAACCTAGCCAAAGGGCTCTCTTGATTGTTATTCAGTATGAAAATGCTTCACAGATATCTTGGTCAATAGGTGCAGGCAATTCATCAGGACTTCTCATTCACAGCTTGTATTCACTCTCATGAGAGGACAATTAACAGAGTGAGTACAACTTGTGACAGGTAATAGAGGAGTTTGTTGAACAAAATCCAGTTCGTGGTATAGACTGAAGGCTACAATGACTGACATAGACCTATGGGTGAAAAAAATACAAACAAAAACTTCTAAAATACTGCTGCAAATTACTGCCCAATCAGCCAGTTCCAAGACCTGCACCTGCTTACATGCTAAATCCATGCAAAGCCATTTTTTTCCCATTTTAGTTGTCAGGTTTGTTTTCAAGGCCACTGATAAATATACTGATAACTGATTTTGTGTTGAAGCCTGTGATGAAATTTGCACTTGTTTTGAAGAGAGTCCACAGAGCTGGATCAACAGCCACTGCCATGTAAAACATCAAACAATAGCTTCAGTCAGCCATCCATCATTGCATATCCTGAATGTAAGCAATCATAGACATGAAGGGAGGTCACAGATAGTAAATGTAGCAAATGCAGCTATTGAGCAAATGTTGGTGGCCATATCTGATGACCCTGAATTCCTCTTCCCCATGGTCCCATTAGTGCACACACCAAATATTACAACTCGATGACATATAGTTTGCAATTACAAGTCTGAACAATTATAATAGTCTGGTAAGAAACTTTATACTAACCCTGTATATTGGTAAGGAGAAATTTTAATGTAAGCATATCCAAAAAGAAAGAGGCAGAAACAAAATCCCAAATGACATCTTGGACATGAAGTAGGGCGAGGTGGGGTAAAAGTAGTAACAAAAAGAAACCATAACTGCATTTAGTGTTTCGATTTCAGATTGACAGACTTCAAAGTGAAATTTTAATGATTATCAAAACTTAAATCTGAACTAGGTCCTCAGGAAACCTCTTTTTAAAAAACCTTTTATGTTACATTTGCATTGACTAATGGGGAAATACAAATGCATTCCATGATATGAAGAATGAAATCCACATTCATGAAAAACTTCAGTGAACATTAACTAAAAATTAAACTACAGAAATCAATAATATTGAGGAAGCTACAGGCATTCACTAATGAATTTTAAGCCAACAGGAATCCTATTTGTTTGAGAATAAAAGAAGTAAATAAAAGGCTTCTTATCCAACCCACTTGAATTCACCTTATCTATTTTTCCACTTATTCTTTCTTCTTCATTTCTTTCCTCAAAAATTAGCCCATAACTCAGGAATCCTGTTTGTTTATGATGGAGATCCATAAATTCAAGATCAATCAAGAGAAAACTTACTTACAGATCATACCTTGGAACATTTATTTGACTCAAGACTTGGAAAGTTCAGAAAGGAAACTACATAAACCAATATGAGTTTTGACTGAGATGATGCTTTGACAGATAATAACTTAAAAGGACATTCTTCCCTGGACTTTGATTAATAGTTCAATAAACTTAACAGAAATTCAGTTGCCTTTCTTGTAGTTCCCAGAAATTAATTTCTTTTTCAACTTGATATGCTCAAGCACATCTCAAGAAGTGAGATACACAATACTCAGTCATGCACACACTTTTTCCATATATGAAGCAAGATTTATCAAAATTAGCAGCTTTTAAAATATTTTATGTGGGATAATACTTTTAACTCATGATCCAAACTTTCCAAGGGGCATTAGTAAAATTGGATTCAACAAATGATGATAGGACCCCTGGGTTCAAATTTACAGATTAAAAGGTTGATATGAAGATTAAGCATCAAATGTAAACTTTTTCCAACTCTTGACATCATCAGTTGGAGAAAAAATGCAATTGCAGTACAAGGGAAAAATTCTTGAATTTTTAATATGTATACAAGTGCATGTATGATTGAAGTAAATACATTTTTAGCTAATCACAGAAATGTATATATTTTTAAAAATCATATCAAAGGATTTTAAGTAGCATGAAAGACACAAAATGAGAAAATTGTATATTATGTACGTAAAGCAAAAAATTATTACAATTACTTCCATGTTACTTTTACCCCACCTTAACTTATCATTTCAGCCAATGTTTCATGTTTAACTTAATGCCCCATCCATTATCCTACTTTTTTTGTAGCATTTACAAGTTGCTGTCAGCATTACTTCAGTTATCAGATGCAGAATGTAGATTATATTCAACAAATAACATGAAAAATCAGTTCAAGGCCTATCACAGAGAAACATCACAATTACAAACCCTTATAGGCTATCAAAAATATTCAATGGAGCTCATGAAGCTTGACATTTTTGCTCAAAAATGACCCAGTCCATAATGGAAATTCATTTCAATTAGTTGAAACAATTAGTTGACCAGGTAACAACATGCAGAATATAGCATCACCTACTTTATTTACCATTTATTTACCATTGCCTGCTGAATTGCAGACCCACAACAAAAAACTAATATTACTTGAGTAAGAAGTTGTTCAGATATTCTGTACAGACCCATGGTATCACACAGTGAATTGTATTTTTCTCTAGAAGTATATCTGCAGATCAATAACTTGGAAATATTCTGCAGTGACTTTGTGAGCAAGTCCATGTGCTCTTTTGAAATGTTTCTCAGAACCAACTTGAAAATCAATAAATAAGGTACTGCAATCAAAGCTAAGCATGTACCTGGAAGTGCATCTGAAAAGCAAGGAGTAGATGGCAATTAATCTAAAAAGAAGGAGATAAGAAGAAAAAATGATCAAGAGGGAGAGGGAGGTACTAGAAGGAGGATTATGGGCATAGACCTGAGTGCATGCATGTCACTCACACGGGTAAACTGCTTCTGCTGGGCCAGAGAAGCCTCGGCCGCATTCAAAGCATCCATCACTTTCCAGTTTTTCTCCCTCAATTTCTGGACATGCAACACATACATGAAGAAAGTGATGATTGTCCTTGAAACAGAATCCACTTGACCTTACTTCTTAGTAGCTCATGCAAAGTGGGCATGCACAGCAGACAAAACTTTTAGTTGACAGGTTAAAACTACAGCACCTCAAGGAAAGGGTTCCAGTTTTTTAAAATCATATTTTCATCTGATATTGTGTGAGCTTCATTATTCTGCAGGTTATGTTGGATAAAGGCAGCCAATTCTGCCAATTAAAACATTACATCCAATATTCCAAATGTAACAACTTTTTAATGTTAGGTATTAGAAATTATAATTAACAAAATTCTACAGAGCTTTGTTCAGTAACTTGAGTCAAACCTAGATACAAGATGGATGCCACTGCTGCCTGTCACAAATTTTGGCAATATAATGTGAGTGGCATCATTTAGAATAAACCATAGCATGCTAATTGCTACATCAAAATCTCAGAAGGCCTAAATGCATGTGAAGCCACTGCCATCCTTAGTCCCCTTACAATACTCTACACTTGTACCATGTATCCACCCCACAGCAATGAGTCACCTTTCATGGAGGTAACAAATATTTGGCTATATTAAGCACTGGATAAGGGTTGCAGCATGTATGGTACTTTGTACATAAATGAGGAGGATTTATAAAAATTTATAAAATATAACAGCAAGTTTGGACAGACAATGTTGGCAGATGGCAGCCTGGGTGGATGGTGCTATAACAGGATCACCAATGATAAACTCATGGGGTAGATTTGTTCCACTCCCACTTACTGCCAGGAAAGAGCTGGCAGTAAGTGGGAGTGGCAGTAAAGTGAGTATAGTGAGGGTTGACTAAACTTTGATAAGCTCCAACATGATTGAATACAGGCAGTCTCAATGAAGGGGTTGATTTTTAATACCTCTTACATATTTTTTATATAGGGTGTCCCAACAAGAGCGCAAGATTTAATTTTGTAATAAAACGCATCATTTATTCAAAAAGTGCCGATATTTTTTTTTTCAGTATAAAGCACACACACTGCGATTAATTGTGGAACACGATATCCGACAAATGTCCCCCATGACTCTGCTGGCACACTCTTGCTCTTTTGACGAAATTCTCGATGACATTTCCGCATAATTGCGGCTCAATTTCGCCAATGACACGTCGAATCTCCGCCTTGAGCTCAGGAATTGTTTGGGGTTTGTTGGTATAGACACGAGATTTCACAAACCCCCAAAGAAAGAAGTCGCGTGGTGTCAAATCACACAACCTTGGTGGCCAATTCTGGTTGCCATTGCGTGAGATGACACGGCCAGGAAATTTTTCTCACAACAACTCAGTTGTTTCGCATCTGGAAAGTGGAAGACATGTGGTTCCAGCAGGACGGCGCAACCTGTCACACTGCGCACGAAACAACTGAGTTGTTGTGAGAAAAATTTCCTGGCCGTGTCATCTCACGCAATGGCGACCAGAATTGGCCACCGAGGTTGTGCAATTTGACACCGTGCGACTTCTTTCTTTGGGGGTTTGTGAAATCTTGTGTCTATGCCAACAAACCCCAAACAATTCCTGAGCTCAAGGCGGAGATTCGACGTGTCATTGGCGAAATTGAGCCGCAATTATGCGGAAATGTCATCGAGAATTTCGTCAAAAGAGCAAGAGTGTGCCAGCAGAGTCGTGGGGGACATTTGTCGGCTATTGTGTTCCACAATTAATCGCAGTGTGTGTGCTTTATACTGAAATAAAAATATCGACACTCTTTGAATAAATAATGCGTTTTATTACAAAATTAAATTTTGCGCTCTTGTTGGGACACCCTTTATATCATGAAATACTTCCCTCCCATAATCTGCCTTGAGGGGACATTAAAAAATAGGCTATTTTCTGCATTCAGCAATCGAAGAGGTGCCGATGAGCCAAGTTTCAATATTCTGTATCTCTTGTTTTGTTGGAATCAAAAAATTCCTTTGGAAAATGCGACTCTTGCAAAAAGTGTGCCTTGAGTGGTTTCACCTAAAAATAACATGTTATTCTCAAATTGTTATTCAGAGAACTCCATGCCCACGAAGTTACAACCTTTTACGTTTGCCCTTTTTTGCTAGTGCAAAAATATGTTTTGAAAGGCGACCAGACCAAAAGTTGTGCCTCGCGCGGATGCACAATAAAAAATGCGGTTTTTCCTGACGTGGAAAATCACGTCCGTTATGGGCATGCCAGGCTCCATCTTTCTCTTTCTGCCCGATTCGCTAGAACCAAAGAAATTATTTAAGGAGGTCAACTTAAAAAAATATACCATTAGGGGATGTACCTAAAAACTGACATTTATTCGGAACTGAGTATCTTTATTAGTATGCTCTTGCCGAGTTTTAGCTTTCCAATTCTCTTCATTTGACTGAAGAAAATCATTTCCCTTGAAAAAAAATCCCGCCACAGATTATGTGCGGCAATGGCATTTACCAACTAAGTATGCATTTTTCTGAATAACGCGCTTAACGGTAATATGTACCTATAAACCAAGTGTCGGAATTCTAACCCCTCAAGAACAAGTTTAGAATTAGCGTCAGTCTCTCATTCAATTTCTTTCTTTTTCATTGCATTAGCTCACACAAATCATCGCATCACAAAATCGCCGCAAAGTATTTTTTTTATTATCAAGCATTATGTAAAACAACTTTCCGCTCTTCTGCGCAACAAACGTAATCCACGATCCACTAAATTTTGATGAGTATAGGAAAAGGGTAGAGAGCATGAAATGCGGATTTGTATGGGGAAAAAAAATCAAGAAGAAGAAATACTAATTAGAAGCCTGAGATCAAAATATTTGATAGTGGAATACAATTTTCGTCTTTAATTTATAGGAATGTTGAGAACGTTGTAACCATCGTGATGGTTTATTCTATATTTTAACGACGAAATTTCGCTGTCAAACATAACTCGTTTTCATGAAGTAACCCTTTCTTTCTGCAGCAAACATGATTAGCTAACATTTTCAGTATTCACCTTTAATAGTGGAACTTGCAAGAGGAACGTCTTAGTGTTCATAGATGCGTTCGGGCTCTTGGCAACTCAAACGAAAACGTATTTTATTTAGTGTATCCTTCTTTATAAAATGTTATTTCATTCATTATATGTAATTTTGTATCAGGCTACAGCTATTAAGAAAGCCACGCACACATTTTATTGCTTGGACCATCACACGAAATAGTCTACCATACCGCGAATGATTCGACGATTCTGTTTTAATTGTAGTTTTCTCAAAGTTTCTATTGATGTTGTGAGATCTTATGCGCATATGAGCGTTTGTGTGCGTGAATGCGATTGTGTGTGGATGTGATTGCGTGTGTGTATTTGTGCGTGTTTGGGTGGCAATTCAGAAGCTCAATTGAAATCCAATACGTATCGCTTCATTTGCTGAAATTTCGTTTTATTCTTGAATGCAAAGCTCAAATGTATCTGGTGCTGACTGGTAAATCGATACGATCATCCAGAGAGAGAATTTCGCCTGTTTTCATACGCTATATATATATATATATAGCACACTTTCCATTTGTTTGTCTGTTTGTTCCTCCATAACGGCTGAACCGGGCAACCCCCGAGGCTGAAATTTTGCATAGAGGACCTCGATGACCCGGGGAGTGCCATAGGCTAGGTCTCGTTCATATCCGACCTCCCTTTGGCCACCTACAGGCAGAAGTTCGCCCAGGAGTGCCCGCACAGGCCCAACGGAGGTCCGAGAGAAAACATTTCTAAAATCGGACCATCCGTTCTTGAGATATAATTAAAAAAACCGCGTATTTAGTAGTTTACTTAGTATTTTAGGGATGGGTTTTTTGGTCAGTGACTGCTCACCTTAGCACCTACTGCAGCCTAGCCCAGCTCACCTTAGCCCATCACAGATTACCTGAGCCTACCCCAGCCTATGCAGGCAGCCTGGGTGGATGGTGCTATAACAGGATCACCAATGATAAACTCATGGGGTAGATTTGTTCCACTCCCACTTACTGCCAGGAAAGAGCTGGCAGTAAGTGGGAGTGGCAGTAAAGTGAGTATATTGAGGGTTGACTAAACTTTGATAAGCTCCAACATGATTGAATGCAGGCAGTCTCAATGAAGGGGTTGATTTTTAATACCTCTTACATATTTTTTATATAGGATGTCCCAACAAGAGCACAAGATTTAATTTTGTAAAAAAACGCATCATTTATTCAAAAAGTGCAGATATTTTTATTTCAGTATAAAGCACACACACTGCAATTAATTGTGGAACACGATATCCGACAAATGTCCCCCACGACTCTGCTGGCACACTCTTGCTCTTTTGACGAAATTCTCGATGACATTTCCGCATAATTGCGGCTCAATTTCGCCAATGACACGTCGAATCTCCGCCTTGAGCTAAACGCGCCTGTTCTCGCTTCCGAGGTCGTCTGGAGGCTGTGATTGATGCTGAAGGTGGCTTTATTGAATAAGTTCCATCTATAAAGCACTACCTTGCTCTTGTTTCTGGAATTTTCAATAAATGCTTAAAATTAGAAATTTTAGAGATGTTTTTCCTTAATGTATTTTCCATGCCAATTCTACTCGTGCACCCTGTATAGAACATAAAAATTTATAGTAGAATAGGAAGAGAGCTCAAAATGCAAACGGGTAAATTATTCAGATAGTGGCCTAAATTCAGGTCAGAAAGGGTTAAACTACCACATAACTAAGGCTGAGTTCTGCATATAATCATACCACTTCTCAGATATATAACAAGAGGGCTAAAATATCCCAATAAGGAATCAACTACCTCTCAAAAAAAGTATGCAATTAATAATTTAAAAAAACATAACTCCTATACTCAGTTATATAAACAGCTACCCTTTTAACCCTATTAACCCTTTTTAACCTAACAACCATTTGGTCACAGTGTACACATGCAAGATAAAACAGTAAGAAACATATTATTTTCCATAAAAACAGGTTGGCTTTCATGGACTAATGTTTATTATTGACTGTATTTTGAGATGCACGTGTTCTTGTGCATGTATGGTGTCTTATTATGGTGATTGAAACAAGAAATAACTCATCATTCTTGACACCAAAATAATAATTCAGCTTAATATGGTTTAACCCTTTCTGGTTTATTTTTATTTGTAATGCTATGGAGATTGTCAGACTAGGTCAGCCAGTAGATCGCAAAGGGTTAAGTTAGCCACTGAGATTCCTAAATTAAATGTTATTAATTGGTTATTATACAATGCCACTAATATTCACATTCACCATAAATAATTGCAAAAAGAGTTCAAAACATAAATTTAAAATATTTTAAATAAGATAAATGATGCTTTATTCTGAAAATTAGTACATCAATCAGTACTCCTGCCAAATGTCACCTTTATAAGGTGAAGTCTGACCCTAAGAAAAATGTGATCAATCTGAAGATGATGTGCTTGATTGGTAGAAGACATATCTAGGAATCATATTGCATCATTTGGTAAGGATTGATGAAATGGGTAAGGTGTTGAAGTAATATTTGCAAATCTCATTGAAATATGATGGGAAAAGAATTTGACCTACTCGTGTCCAAGAAAATTGAGAATCGTATTCTTACCCATTCTGTGGAAATGCTCTACAAGGCCTTATTTTTCTTGGTCATGCAGTGGACACAAAAAAAGATGCAGTGCAATAGAGAAAGGGGTGTCTGCTTAGCAAATGCACCACAACCAATATAACACTCCCTCAGGCAGTGACATTCCTGCAAAGATTACAGTAATCCACATGGTCACGTTCAGTCCTAAAACACTTAGGTCAGAACACAGAGACTCACCTCAGAACAACTTTGTGACTTCAGTAGTATCTTTGCGTCTGTATAACCATACAGGAAAAGAAAGAAACGAAAAGAACGTTAACGAAAAATTCAAAGCATTCATGAGGTATGAATACTTATGGCCCGCTGTGTGGTCTTACTGAATATGGGAATTACAAGTGTGTGAATGATGAAATAAATCTTCTCTCTCAAGTGAATATGCCTCTGTGAGAAATTTGAAAACAGGTATATGCTCATTTTTGGGGGAAAATCAAGTAAAGGCATATGTTCTCACTTGTTTCTAGAATTTAGGAATTCATTTAGACATATACACTGATAAAGGTTTTTACAGTAACTTCTGTGCAAACACACAAAAGTCTAGACATACTTAATCCTCAGAATTTTACAATGGTGCAGCAACTGCACCATGCCAGGTTTTTTTTTTGTAGCTTCATTCTCTGGAGAGCATTGTGACTTTTTTGGGACATGAATTCTTTTTACTCTAATAAATTTATGATACAGAACAAAGTTTAGTATCTCAGTTTATAGACTCGTAGCTACCCGTATGAAAACCGATTATACTTTTGTTCATGTGAACCCGAACCGTCAGTTTCCCAATTTTAGTCAAACTTGTATAGGTAGAACTCTCTCGTCGTTTCATCTACAAAGTGAAGGTAGCACAGTTAATTTGAACAGATATAGGAAGGTCATACAACCATCAGAACCTAGACTGCAATGTACAAGGATAATTCAAATTTCATATCAACAGCTTCTTGCTTCCCCTTCAAGAGTAACAAAAAGCTATAGGAATAATCATCAAATCATTCAACTATAGGAACATAAGGCAACAGATATGGATCACAGAATGAACAAGTCTAAGTTGATATGTGGTTCATATTGATAAGCAGCTGTTTTTAATTCTCCTCTACTTATATAGAAGCCTGTGAACTGTGTTGAAATCTCATGGGAAATTTGAAGCAAGTAAATGTTCCTCTTTACCTCCTTTTCATGCTGAAGTTTCCTCAACTGATACTGCATATCACCCTGGGCCTGCTGAATAGTGCTCACTTGAGTTTGACTTTGTTCCAAGGCTTGCTGCAAAGCATTTCTTTCTTTCTGAAGTTGTTCCATAGCTGCCCTCAGTTTCCCTACATCATCAGCAATGTGTTGAGTTCCTCTCATTCTCTCCTGCATCTGAATCATCACAAATGTGAGGATGAGATATAATACTAATGCATCAAAGAACAAGAAAATAGCCAAAGGAAAGCAATCAAATGCTAAAAAAATGTACCTGTTGACATTTTGCTTGGAAACCAGCTGTATCAGCTGCATTTTGATCTTTGACTTTCTGAAGTTCAGCATGGAGAGCCTTGACTTCCTGTTGCTTCTTCATCAGCATTTCATTCATCTTCCCCAACTTGGACTTCTCAGCTGCCAATTCAGTTCTCATTTCCTTCATCTTTTCTGCAGTGTTTCGCACCAGCTGTTGTTCATTGGAAAGTTCCTCTTCTTTCTCCTCCAGTTGGCGTTTCAGTTGGGCCACTGTCTCAACCCTTTGTCCTTTCTGCTTGAATAAGAAATCAGCACATCATGAAGGTAGATGCTGAGAACATGAACAGTACTGGTAACAAGACAATTCATCAGAAAACCAAACCTGCTTAACTAGTTCAAAATAGTGAACTACTACCAGTTTCATTAATACCACCTCCATCATTTCCCTCTAGCCAACAGTCATTTTTCTACCCATTTTCCATCACTTCTATAACACATTGCATTTTCTACCCTGTGGCTCAGTTGCTTAATGTCTAGGTGTTCAGTTCTTTCTCCTCACTCTTCATGAGATACTCTTCAACTCTTGTCTGTTGGAGTGGAAGAGATCTACCAACTTCCCTCACTCACCCAGCTCACTGTCCCAACTCTCACTAACAACTCTAGGTAGAAAATACTGAAAGTTAACAAACATATGCCTCTTTAGCAAAACTCTCAGCAGGACAAGTGAGGGAAGGCCTCTGTGGCATATTTATACAACTCCAACAGACAAGGACTAAAAAAATTGTTGGGACTTTTACAATTAGTACTAGTAGGTTTAGATAATCTGGTTTTTATAATCATAATCAGCCACAAATTTCTATCCATTGTCAGCAAGGCCTCCCAATACCCAATTTCATCCAATCCTGTACAGTTGCATATGAAAACTTCAAAACTATCTTATGACTCCATCTTTTCCTTGTCTTTCACCTTGGATACAGTTCCCTTGGTTTGAATAAGTAATTATTTGCCATTCCCATAGGTACTAGGGGAAATGGTAGATATTGTGATCTGTCTCACATTTTTCTTGATTTTTTTTTCATTCTGTCTGTCCTACTGCATAGGAATGATGGCTTTTGTTTTTAAAGTCGGATGGTTAGCATGCAGTGAATGAAGATAATTCCAGAGGTATAATGGTCAGTAAAATGGTAGATCTGTATCTGCACTGGTCAATTCTGTTCATGCACTACTACTATCTGTTTGTGCTAGGGACACATTCCAAATCCAAGTGGAGACTTTTTTGTGCCATGGTGAAAATGAAGTTAGCATAATAAATCTAGGGAGTAATTTACTAATTTATTTCTGAGAGAAGTTAGCCTACCAACAGATTCATACCACCAGGATCATTCAGGAAGAAAAAGAGATCTCCCTAAAATTTCAGAAAGACAAAAGAAAGTTTACCTTTGTCCATTCAACATCAACAGCACTCTGTTGCTTGTTCAGGAGAATCTCAATGAGGGATTGAATGTCTTGATAAGTGAGGTCAGCCTTTCGTAAGCCTGCTTCCAAGGACTCAAAACCTACATAATGTTTCATCATGTGAGCTTGATAATTGGACATCAGCAACTGACACTGTGAACTGCTTTGACAGCCTTACCTTGATCAGGTGACATTGACTTCTGCTTCTTCTTTTTGGGTTGTTGAGTTGGAGCAGAAGCCTGGAGCTCAATGTTGACTGTCTGCACAACAAGAGATGGTTCAGCAACAGGGACCATCTTCCTCGAATCAGTGATATCAGGTGAAGGAGGAGGAACAGGAGAAGCAGATGATGTGGAGGAGGGAGTGCCGACACTTGGAGTTGGTGGGGGTGGAACTGGAACCGTGGTTGGCTCTTCTTCCTCCTCTTCATCTTCAGCTTTCTCTCCACCTTCATCATCAACCTTTTTGGTTGCAGGCTTGGTCTTCAGCATTTCTTCCTTCACTTGCTTCTTCTTACCCTTTCCCTGAAGAGACAGCAGGTTGCTCACATTAATTTTTTTAAATACCATTTTGTGTAAGAGAAAACTCCCCATCATGCAATAAGCAAATTTTTAAAAGATAGTATTATTTGGAAGAATAGAAAATAAAAGACATATTGGACAAGCCCAGTCTATTAGCAGGTCTTCTCTCTTTGGAAATGAAATAGAGGTTATCAATCATTCACTTTAAAGTACACAGAACAAAATGCAATCAAAACATTCTCTACCTCCACTCCCACAATTACAGTTTACTTAAGAATTTTTAAAACATAAATCTAGAATAAGCAGAAAAGTGGCAGTATTAGGCTGCTGAAGGGTAGTTCAGGGAAGACCCAGATACATTATTTCCATCCACTTTCTCTCGGTCCATGGTCAAGAAATGCACAAAGAATATGAGTAAAAAAAAACTATAGCTTTTAGCTCGATTTTTGTCAAAATGAAAAAGAGAAATCATGTCATAGATCATCAACTTTAAATAAAAAAAGGAATATTTGTCCTTCATGATGACGCACTTATTGCGATTCTAAATGCCATGTGGTTCCTGAGTTTCTTCAAAGATGGTTATGTCAAGAAGCATTAAATAATGGAGTCATGGATGAAATTGTAGGCGGTATTCTCCAGCTACTTGAGAATACTGCCTACACTTAAGTGTAGGCAGTATTCACAACTTCGAAATGACAAGGTTCTACCTTATGCTTTATGAAAATTTTAGTTCAGCATGCACCAAGTTTCTATGCTAATAAAATGCATTTTATCTTGATTAAGCACAACTCATAAGAAAACAGACCTGTACAAAGGTGAGAACAAAGGTTCAACTTCCTTATGAATAAAAAAAAATAAAATCAGAATCATAAGGTTCTATCTGTCTTATCAGCCACATGCCCCCTTTTTACACTTCAACCACCCAACAGGAGAAAATGACCCAGTTGGTTCCAAGCAAGCATCCCTTACAAAAACAATTGAGCTCACCGGATGTAACTGAAGTTCCTGACAAATATTTATAGAAAAAAATCCTACTGCTAAAAGCTACTGCATTACTAATGTGGCATCAAGAAGGTATAAAGAGGCTGAAATTTCAGCTATTTAGAGTTTAATAACTGATTTCTGTTAACTTCCACTGAGACAGATCAGCTCATACCCTACAATGGCACCCAACCTCTCTTTAACTCATATAGTGAATTCCAAATGTTTGAAAGGTTATGCTTTTGGTTGACAGATTTCAAGAATATTCTTTTGGAATAGTTTCTATAAATCCTTGAATGAATGAGTGAAACTCACAAAAGAAGTTCAAGACAAATACATACCATCATTGGGGATGAAATGCTCCTGCTCTCTTAATCTTTCTGGCTAGGTGAATTCACTGGCCACTAAGAAAATTATGGTACACCATGACCATAAGGTTCATTCCATGAACAGAGGGAACTTTTCAAAATGTGAAATTCTACATTTGATGACAATTAAGGATGGGCAATGCAATATTTGATATCACACTGTACTGAGCTGTACTCAAATGCAATGCACCAAAAATGGGAATAATAAAAAATAATTAAAAAGTTTTTTTTGGTCATTCTACTTTCTGTAACATGAATCATAAACATTTTTCATATTTATAACTTTCTGAAGACAGACTCAGTAGTGAAGACATTAGATACATCCTTCATATCTGCCATGAAAGGGAGTTGAGTGATGATTACATCTTTCTTCAAATAAAGCAGATATTTTTTGCTGAAATTTGCTCCCAGAGAGAGCAAGTCCTTTGAATGTAACACAAGTCACAAGAACTCAAACTATTATTTTTGTTCTCAGAGGTGCTGTAAAAAACCAGAAGTACTATTATCAGCAAATGGTCAATGCCTACAACACACATAGCAGGCAGTCTCAAGCAACATAATTCATATGGGTAGCAACCTCATAACCAGAATAATTTCATGCTCATACATAAAAGGGATGATGAATAAATCATGCTCATGTATCACTTATCACTCTGGTCATTAAAAATGCCTGGTATACTTACAAGATATAAGACTTGAAAACATGAAGAAGGGTTGCCAGCTCTCAAGCATATTATGCAAGAGGATGCTTCCAGCAACTTGATTATTGTTGGAATTCACAACAATGAAGAACAAACATTATGACAGTTGAGTTCCTAGTCCAAATTAACCCCTTGCCATTATTTTATAGGTATGCCATCATGACATCTTCCTTGGATTAAAAGTTTACTTTAAAATGTATAATTGTGATACAGACATCAGGTTTGGTCTGAACTGTACATCAAGGTTCATTTATTACCAAAGTATGGTTGCCTAGCAATGCCAGTTCAGAGGGGCTCTGTGAGAGGGCTGCAGATTTTAGTGTTTAGATCAGAAGTAAACATGGCAGATTGAAATCACATTGGATACAGATTGCCAGAGAAAGACATTATTTCTCTATTAAATTTGAGTGATGTAGAAAATGAAATAATGTTGGATATAAGTGAAAGTGATACTGAAGTTGTTTTTGATAACTTCCTTAAATCAGATGTACCTTGTGTTACAATAACAGATAAAGAGATAGGTGTGGCATGTGACTTATGTAAGATACCACTGTGCATAACATCACATTTCATCGAACCAGAAGGAGAATCTAGAATGCTATGGGAATTTCAATTTACTTGTTCCTAAGGGCAATGAAATAAAAATAAATTAAAGTAATAAAAATGACTAATTTCCTCAAAAAAAATACAATGCCAAAGGGTTAAAGTTGAATCCAGCAGCAATTGATCTTGAAAGGATTTCTCAATCCTACTTAAAAGAGGGCACTTGCATTCTGCACTGCCAATTTAAAACAAGGGTGAGATTATTTCAACCATCAGACAATTGACTGCTTTCTTGCTGGAATTCAGAACTAAAACATTGCTTCAATGGTGAAATAGGTGTGATGAACTCCAACCTTAAAGGAGCATGCACAGGGCCAAAATTAGTCTATCCATGCAGTTAGTTCTGGGAGATGCATGATTCAGTTTTCACTGGAGACATTCTGAAGTCCAGATAATTGGAGATATATGGGGCTTAAAGAAATTGCTGCATCTATGAAGCTATAATCATTCTGAGTCTGAAGAGAAGAATAATGATGCTTCAATCCTTGATTGGATGAAGAGGAATGTGGTAAAATTTCATTGCATTGTTGGCTGCAAGCAGGAGATGTGCTTGTCAAGTACTGGGGTTTCTGATGCAGTCAATAGCATTCTGGCAAAATTTGGGTACTGAAATATCAGAATATCCTTCCAAGGTTCAGAAATAGCATTCAACATGGGGAGACTCATCAGATTAGTGACATAGACTTGCTGGGTAAAAGAAATAGCAAATGGGAAAAACAAAAGATGGAAGGCTCTGAACTAGGGATACCATATCACAAAGTCCATTCATTCTATGCAAATCATTTTTGTACTAACGAATGTCCATTGCCTAAATCCATCAGGAAGATCAATCAGAACATGATAAGCTCAAGCTCAACTAAAAGATAAGCTCAAAAAACAGGTACCAACTTAGAGAACATCAACCAAAGCTGGCAACATCACACACCAGGAGCATCTTTTGCCTGTATGCTCACATGAACTCTCAAGATATTAAATTGTGCTATTGCTGCACTAGAGTTCACCTAGATCAATGCTGATAAGATGGGACTCAAAGTGGTCTCATTTAACATCCTTTCTTAAAAAGCAATCAAAGCACTAAACTTGTGATGAAAAACTGACAGGTCTAGGTCAAAGGTCTTGTTTTCTTATCCATGCAAGCAATAATCTACCTAATAAGCTGCATCAGCATTGAAAAAATGAATAGCAATGGTACCTCACAAATGCTTTCTTCCAAATATTTAGAAACCTTTGGAGGAAACTAGCAAGTAGGCATCATTCTATCCTAAGGGGCCTATAATTCCTGTCTGCATGAGCAATTCACAAACCAGAAGTACTTTCAAACTGATCTACCTATTTACATGGGTTCCATATCTTTATAATGGCTCTACTCTTGAGCATATGACATAGTAGCTAGTACAGTCAACAAATTCAGCAAAATGTTCCAGTCTATGCATGTTAAGCCAATTTTCACAATTAAGCCTACAAAGAAGAGGTAATACTGACAGTGAGTGGACAGATGGTCTCCCTTGGATGAACAGAAGCTTGCCCCATAGTACCTCTTTGAATTAGTTATATTCTGAAATAAAGTTTTCTTCAGAAGTTAACATTGTTACACTTATTCATTTCACTATGACTTTTGCATTATTTATTCCTCATATTACTCAAACCACAGCCATAAAAGGGAAAGCAGGCATATACCCTCCTGCCACTCGCTTTTCAAGGTGAGCAAACAAAGAGCACCTTTCACCACACATTTGCAGGAAGGTTTTAAATGCCTAAAGGACATGGGCTTGGGAAGGCAGACTTAGTGGGTATCCAGGGTTCACACAAGCTTTTTAAATTTTGAGTCCCCACACCTAGCTTCAGCTCAGTGGGAACATGTTCAGGTGGTTGTCAATGAGTCCCACGGGCTTAGATGTTCTGCAAATATGAGTCCCTCAAAGAAAATGAGTCAGGGACTCACAATAGCAATTTAACAAGAACCCTGGATACCTTGACAAAATTCAGGTCTCAGGTTCATCATATATAAGGTGATATTAATAAATAAAAAACAGCACAATAATTTTCTATGGGGGAGAAACAGCTTTGTACAAGGCAAGTAAAAGTATAAGTTAGATAAGTGATCAACAATGAATGATTAAGGTGTTGAAATGATTTTTTTTTTTCAGTAACCTTTTCTGATCCAAACAAATGTCCTGTTACACAATTTACATAAAGGTGGATCATTCCACCCCAAGGAAGGAAATGGTTTGTGTCTGATCATCACATAAGTCAATGAAAATTAGCAAGCAATCCCATGATGGCAAGATTATGGTATAATCCAAATTGGAGGTTTCCATGTTAAAATTTTCCTTTAATTGTGTGACAATGACCCCTTCAAGTTTTCACAGGTTATTGTAGTGATGACCATGCATCAATTCCTTCAAGCTGGGAAAAGGTCACAGTTTAATCTTCCAAAAAAATCGCCATTCTTCCAATAAGGTACTTAGACCTTTTCTGCTTTGAAGGAATTGACGAGTGGTGACCCACAATGACCTGCAAGATCTTGAAGAGGCCCTTGCCTCATTATTTAAGTAAATTTGCAAGGAGGAACAGGCTAAACGAAGTATAAAAAAATACTGCCACATCACTGGAATTGGGCTGAGAACATTTCTTGAGGAGGTATAACAGAGATCCAGGCACACCCTGAGGGGAACCTCTCCTTTTGCATTCAATGGCCTTCATGCCAAGTCATACATTTTCGTGTGGCTCACTGCCAATAAAGGTTGAACACCATTGCTGTATATAATTGAACTCAGTCATAGTGTCAAATAGAACCTGGTCCGAGTGTACAGCCCATAAGATATATGTTTAAATGCCTCACCTAAAGCAAGCTTGGTTACTGTGAAGACCTTGGTTAGAGCAAAAAATAAAATCTTGCCCGCAGATAAAACTGACCATGTTGTGAAGTTACTGATTCCTTGTTAGGCTCCACAATAACTGAAAACTTCATCGCTGGATAAATTAATCATTAAAAGCCCCTTCATTAGGTACTTCCTGAAGACACTTGCCTAAGGGTGGATGGTAGGGAAAAGGGAACTAGAAAAACTAAAAAAAACTACATTGGTATTCCATGAAAATTAATACCAGCAAATAAAGTATAAAGAGTGTCCCTACATGATGAGGATCTCCACGGCTCACATCCTGGATAAGTTTCAATTCCAAGTCATCAAGGGGCTTAATTATCGAGAAACTGTTTCCTCTGGATCGGACAAATACTGGCTCCTCCTCCTCATCCTCTTCTTTAGAAGATCCTGCATCAGGCTTCAGATGAAGTATGGGTTTTGGCTTCTCTTTCACAGGAGAAGCCTTTGCACTCTTCAACTTTTCAGCAATGATATCTGCTTTAACCTGCAATGGACAGTATGAATGACCTCTCTGTTGTGTCATATGTAAGAATTTCCAAAAGCTACAACTACTAGTGTTGCTTTATGCTACAGCTAAGGGCCAATTTCCCAGATTGCCTCCAGGTATGAATAAAGCATACCACACATCAACAAGTCACCCTGGTGAATATACAACCCATTTATATACTGTAGAAGTATTAAGTTGAGAATAGAATTACAAATATATACTGCCTTGAAATGAAACTAAATAGGTGGGTTTGAAATTGGACATGATGCAAAAAAATTCCCAATCCCCAAATTGTAACTTCCTTCCTTTCTGTCCAAGAGAGATGATTGAAATCTCAAATAATAGCTGAATGACAAGGACATCAAAGTATGCTTGTATAAATAATTCATGTCTATATTGAAACATATACATTTTTATTTAAAAAAAATTACTTCCTCCAATTTCTCAACCTCTTGAATCTCTGAAGGAACAGTGACAACTGCATAAAATTTTAGGATAAATGAGTTCATGTAATATTGCATGCTAAGCATTATGTAATATGATTGAGGTGTTACAATACCAACATACTTTATCCTTCCTTAAAAAAAAAAAAAAATTTCATTATATTTGGCCATGTTTCCATGTGGGAAGCATGATTAACACATTGACTGCCATAGAAATGCTGGCCTATTGATTTTCCCATTCGGTGAGGTGCACCAGTGTGCCTTGTGGCAGTCAACCTGTTAAGAGTTGACCTTTACACCACCAGAGGGTACTTTCCAGGGTTCTCCAAGGATACAAGAATGGGGGGGTTTTTGTTTGCCAAGCAGAATATAAGGCTAGGTACCTTCATGGGCAAATATGATGCTGGTCTCCATTTCCATGGTTTTAATGATTGTTATCAAGCTAGTCTCATATTTACCGAGTTAAACACACACATCAAAAGTAATTTATAGATTAGGTGTTGTCCTGTTGGAGGAAAGGGCATTTTCCTACAGTATAAAGGAGCAAAAGGCCTCTTCAGCAGACTCTCCAGTATCATGCCAAATCAACCAACCAGTCTCAAAACCCTTGATCTTCTCTCTATTCACACCTATGGGGAAATGGTATAACTTGTCACCAAAGTTCAGATTTCCATGAAAATTAGCCAGTTCAAGAGGGAAAGTTCAAAGCAATGCAAGTGAAATTTATAACATAGTAGTTTCATATACAAAGATGGAATGAAAGAGGAGCTTGCACAAGGTCTCCTGTGAAAGAGCTCTAGAATGAAAAGACTAGTTCAAGTTGTGCAAAAGCAGTGCAGGACTACAAGATGCAACATGACCTAGGTCTTCTGTTCTTTCACAAACAGGCACACCCTCAGTGCCACTTGGTGCTGAAGATGGCAGTCATGCTGCACATCAGCTGAAAATTTTCAATGAAAAAATGCAGTGCATTAAGAATGGATATTGCAGCCTGTTTCAAAAGGCCCTTCCTATCCCACCTGGGCCACACAGCCCCATTTGCTTATGGACAGAAGCACAGACATATCAGCAAGAGGCATATAGCTTGAGAATTTTCACTCCTGCCTTCTCACCCTACTCTTTGATAAAACTGCTATAAGCTGTTGGTCAGTGCTGCAAGTGAACAAAATACATGCACATGCTTTTCTTATTATAAGGGAGGAGGATGGGGTGGAGCCCTGGCTGCCCAGATGCATAAAATGTTATTTATATGATGATCTAGTAACCACGTTTACCACAACATTGTGTAATATAATTCTTGTGGTATTCCCCATCAACCTCCATGTTTTTTCTTTGACACTCTCAGAGTGAATTGCTGATCAATTCAATACGGTCATTTCTTAACATCACAATGTTAGGAGCAATTGGGCCATTGCAACCAGACACTACACTGGCATAATGAAAGTACATTAGAATAACTTACTCCAGGACTGCCCTCAAGAATCTCAGGATCAGGTTCAAATTCCACATGAGGTCGAATCTCATGAGCAGGTTCTGCCTTTTCACGTTTTTCTTGTGCCTTTCTCAGCTTCTTCTGCTTCTTATCTTTCTTGACATCTGTTTTTTGTTTATGTTCTTCTTGTAGGATTTTCCGTTGCTCTTCTAGCACCTCTTCATATGACTTTTCTTTGAAGAAGTAAGTAGATACTATATACAACACAGCTCCAATTATCACAGAACCAGCGACACCAAAAAGGATGGCCTCCATCGCTGGAAAATTGCCTAAGAAGAGAGCAGCTTCACATGAATTCAATATAGCCTAGTCCTTTTGAATAAGCTTATCTTGGGATCTTGAGAATGAATATCAACTATAAAAAAAAACTGTTAATTGATCCAAAAATATGCTATGTCTACAAGCAGGGCTGGATTAAGGGGGGGCAAAGGGGGCTGTTGCCATGGGCCCCATTCTTCCAGGGGAGCCCCCAAAGCAATTAAAAATGTTAAGTACATAAAAAGTTTTGTATTTGCATAAAGTAGCAGAGGGGGGAGCCCCAGGAATTCACTTGCCCCAGGCCCTGCAACTTCTTAATCTGGCCCTGTCTACAAGGGTTTATTATACTTTCTAAGAACTTATAAGCCCAGCTGGGCTACTGAAATAATCATGCATATCATATGTAGCCGTGCAGTGAATTTAGAACAACTTGGCACACCTTCAAAGGGACCCACTAGCTTGGTCTATTTGTTCTAAATGTGCTTCATCTGCCTTACATACTAGGGCTAGTCAACTGAAAACAGCAATACTCACACCAAAAACTGTACAAATGATGCACTGGTCACAAGTATATTGGAGTATATAGAGGCACGTTGGTAATATCAGCAGCAGTAGTTACCATGATGTGAAGCAAAAATTTTTACTCCAACATCAGTAGTGAGGAAAGCACAGCTAACTGGCTCCAAGAACCAGTGGTGTAGCAAGGGGGGGTTTCAGCCAACTCTGGTCTAAATGCATCCACACCCCCCTCCCTCCCAAAAAAGTAAGGAAAATTCTAGCACCCCCAATGGTGAAATTCTAGCAATGTCACTGCCAAGAACAGGCTGTTTTGCAAGATCAAGCTCAAGAAAATGCATGGGACAACTACCCAAACTTCTGCCAAGGCACCTGGTTGAAGCCTGATGGCATAGCCTTAACCCCATGAACAGGTTGGCTGAGACATTTGTTGATTAATTCAATGTGAAACCTGACAATAGGCAAATGCCAAAATTTGCAGACCTACAAGGCATTGGATAAAAAAAAAACATTTTTTTTTATAAATTAGGGTGCATTTGAGACCATGCAAACTGTGTAGATCACACCTCATACCTGAAGTGCTATGGTAGGTCACACCTCATACAGTTACCCTTTTTGGCTAGCTAAAGATAAATGAAAAGGGAATCATTTAATAAAGCAGTAAGGAGATCCGAGAGGGAAATGCTCATTGGCATTAGAGGGGTCTTAGAAGGGGGATTAGTAGGAGCTATGATTGGGACTCTCCAGTTTGCTTTAGTAATAACTATGCCAATTTTTTTATATTCTTAGGTAAGGAAAATTACTAGTAAAGAAATAAATTAGAGCAAGAAAAAGTTTTCTCTTCTCGTTCTTTTGAATATTGAAAAAGTTTCCAATATTCAAAATTAAGCTATAGTTCATTTTGTCAATTCCTACTACTGCACCAAGAGGGTTGAAATAATGCACAAGGGCATATCCCAACCCCTTTGGGGTTTCAAGTATTTTGGATAAAGTCAACACTGTCTTTAAAGGTTTTTCCATCCCTCACCATGAAGCCAAAACGAGATAACTCGGGCATGGACCCCAAGAGGTTAAATTGATTTGACCCTAAGGTGAGTGAGTTAGGCCCACAAGATTATTGTTACTCTTCCATACCCACACATAGACACATGCAAACTTGCCTACTTCTGTTATTCTCAGTTAGCTCACCAAGCCTATAGGCAGCACCATGATGATTTCACTTTCCTGTCATCTGCTTGCTATCATCTCTCCCTTTCCCCTTGATTTTGCAAATGGTTCTATTCTCTACCCAGCTCATGAATGCATTCTATAAAGCATGACCTGAATAATTGTCTTGGAATCATGGAAAATTCCTTCCTTGTGCAGGGAAGGCTGGCAAGTGGGCAACATGAAAGTGAAACCATCATGGTGCATGGTGAACTAACAGAGAAATAAAAAACAATACAGCAAAGGGCAGGTTCACAAGTTTGCAAGGAAGGGCAGAAATAGGTAACATCATAATCCTGCAGGCCTAACTGACTCACCTGCATCACATTGACACAAAGACTATGGAATGTGTCTACATTCTTTATGTCAACTTCTTTTCAGTTGGAGTGGGGGGGGGGGTTGACAAAACAAACTATTCCCCAAAGTTCTCCCAGGTTAAACGATCAAATCTCAAGTGGTCTATTGCAACAAATAAAATCATGAATGTGATAAAAGACAGGGAAATAATGAAATAATTCCAAAGGCCCCTTGGGAAATTGCTGAAAAAGGAACCCCACAAAACTCCCCCCCCCCTTCCCAAGAATATACATGAAAATAATACTGGGATGGATTAAAAAGACACAATTCAAAGTTGATATAACTGCAACTAATTTTGTTGAAATTAATGTTCACTATAACTTCACTTATAATTTTTTTTAATTAGGTCTAGAGCTCCCTGGGAAATTACAGATATTCCAGTGTCCCAGTCTGACCCTGAAAAACGTTGGAATTTGGTCAATGACAAAGCCACCTGCTTTGGGATTTGATGTCAGTTGTGCAAAAAATGGTCAGTACTTCCCAAAACAGGTTTGCTTACTCACTCTCAGGCCTAACAGCCATTAGTATCTAAAAACTTATTGATCCTCCGAAGCCTACAGCATCACCAACCAGAGCAAATAGACATCAATTCCAAACAACATATCAACCGTAAGAACTCACAACAGGCCAACCCACTCCATAAATTAAATATCCAAACATGAAATTCACCTCGTAATCAGCCATCCTATTATATAAACAAGAGAAGCATGTACTTCTAATCATTTTAGGGCAAAAGAATGCTGTTATAACAATTCGACTTAAAATTAACGTCACATTTAAAAAAGGCTCATGTTGAACAGCCGTAGGCACCAAATGCAACAGTCTATTGTTTGGCCGGCAACACTTAACACTGTGCTGTCCAGACTGCCCGTTTCCAAAATAGGCCTGGAGTTCCTGGAGTTATTTCCTACGCTTTCGTCCGGATAGGCCAAGTTCTAGAGCTACCGAAAGAATATGGCAAACTCGAAGGATTGGTTTAATATCTTTATGGAGGGATTTCGTGTGCACCTCCTGAGCCGGCAATCTACAGGTCGGGAGGATGGAGGAAAGGCTACGCGGAGACGCAAGCAGTGGAACTGGAGAGAGATTCCTATCTGCCAACGTCACCACCGACTGCGAAGGTACTCATGGCTGTGGAGCAATGATGACACCGCAGCTGGGCATCTTCGATTCGACTCTGCTCAGTCACCGGTGAATGGTTAGGCCAAGTTCATGCTCATGCTGTATTGCATCGTACAGCATACTGGACGCTCGATGCAGTACACAGCAGCAGTCTGCATAAAGACTGCAAAACTGCACGGTGCTTGGTCTACTACATCCTGAAAAAAAAATAGGAATGGTTCCTATTCAATCCAGCTTGCTGTACAGCATATTTCTTGATGTATTGCAGGATTGCAATTCAGCAGCTGAACATGCTGGATAGGATTTTTCAGCATAGCATGCAGTAGCAGCATCCAACATGCTGTACGGCACTGGTATGAACTCGGCCTTAGATGCTCTGGTGCATGCGGATATCACTTTGGAATCGATCGAGCCACTCAAAGTCTATAAGCGAGGTAAACGAGATTTCGGCAAAACTTTATTGGTCAATTGAGGCAATTTTGGTGATTTTAACCTTTTTCTGGAGGGGGGGGGGGGGACATAAAATAATGCTGAGATACTCTTGCAGTACGTTCGACCTTGGCAGGAAGCTGCCGAAGCATGTCTTTCATCTTAAAATTTCCGCAGAATTAGGCGGGAATATATGAAATGCAATTTAAATTGCATTTTTGCCAAACAGATACGTACCATTTGTGAGCCCATTCACCATTAAATTGAAATACTTTATTTTGCCAATGGTTGATTTCAAAACAGCAGTTCAGTATAGTTCGGTTCTAGTTTCAGTACAGATTCTGGCCCAAATTAAGTTCCACTGTGCTCTTGTCGACTTTTATCACAAAGAAATCCCAACTAGAACTGCAAATGAGCTGCGACTGGACTGCAGTTTTGAAATCAGTCAATGGATGGACTATACAGGGTGAGCCAGAAGTGATGACTCACACTTCAAAGCGCTGTAACTTTGGAATGGTTGCATCATCGAAGTGCGTGTGTTAGGTTGCCATATTCATCAACGACACATTGATCTCACTCATAAGACAACATAGGGGGTGAACTGCCACCTCATAAGAGAGGAATTAGATATGTAAGATTATTTTCCGTAGCAGACAATGCTGCAGTTACAACGCAAAATGCGACAGGAATTTAGGGTGTCAGTGCCTACGCGGAAGACGATCACGCGTCTATACAATACGTTTGACGAAACAGGAATTTTGCTGGACAGTAAACGCCCAGGTATGCCTAAAACTGCACACACCCAGGAAAATGTGTCGCATGCTGCTGAAGCGGATGATCCCCCAACGATCACCAAATTTCGTTCTGCGAAGATACCTTAATGACAAGGTTTATGACCACTGTATTCACGTCCTCGACCAACTATTGGACGTGATGATGTGGGAATTCAACGCCATACCAGTGGAGATGTGCGGAAGACAGTTTTTTCTAATTGCGCACACTTTCTCGATTTTCCCTGATGGCTGAAAGAGATAATTAATCGCCTATTATGCCCATGATCATATCGCACGGTCATATATGCGCACACTTCGCACGGCTGGTCGAAAAGTAAACCTTCTTGCTTGGGTAGAAACGAACCGTGAACGTGACTCTGCGGTGGTGGACGACGACCAGTTTTCATCGCTTCGCCGAGCAGAGTCGAACTTCACCACATGGCGGTGTGCCAAGAAAAACGGCAGTACCATGTTTCGGGCTGAAAACAAGGAGACCTTCGTCGTCCCTTACATAATCGTGACTCCGAGAACAAGCGTTCTTTGGAATGGCAACGACTACAGGGAAGTTGCGCAAATGAGTGTCTTCAATCCATCAGAGATGGATTGAAGATATCCT